CTGAATGAGGAGTTTGAATTTCCAATGTGACAGCTCTTGGGCTGTCACAGACCCACAGGGAACCCAGCACTGCCAAGGCTGCCACTAACCCATGTCCCCAAGTGCCACATCCACACAGCTTTTAAATCCCTCCAGGGATGATGATTCCACCACTGCCCTGAGCAGTCTGTTCCAATGCTTTACAACCCTTTCAGTGAAGAAATTTCCCCTGATACCCAACCTAAACCTCCCCTGGCACAACTTGGGGCTGTTTCCTCTTGTCCTGTCGCTTGTTCCCTGTGAGAAGAGCCCAACCCCCCCCAGCTGCATCAAAACAGACCCAGGAGTGTTGAGAGCTTGGAAAATCCTTGTCTTTGAAAATGAAACTCCTTCCTATCTCACACTTCTCAGACAGTGTAGCTGAAGGGCCCTGAATGTATGGATCCATTCCTGGTGTTGATCTATGGCTCCAGGTTCCTGTTGCCCTTCCAGAGCCTGCAGTGGGGTTTGTGCTGACTGAACAAACCAGCCCTTACCCACCAGAGCAAACCCAGTGACATGATCCTAAAACTGCCCCCTGCTGCCTGCACAAAGCTGTCTTTTCACTGTATCAGTCCCTTTCCAGGAGCAATTAAAACCCCCTGGAAGGTTGTGCCTTGTTGTGGTTTTGATTGTAGCATAAAGATAAGGAACAAGGAGAAATCCTCTGTGCCCAACGAGACCACGTCCCTCTGTCTGTTGTCTGTGTCCTCTGGAGATGCTTAGATTGTGAAATTCTCCTCCAGTGAAGAGTGTGATATCAATCAGTCCTCTAGGATTAAATCCCACAAAGCTTGTACCTGGGGGGAATTTCTATGAAGATGTTGACACAGCAGGCAGGATTCAGGCTGGTCTCTTATCTCAGTGATGCTTCCACACTGTGCATGAGGGATGCACTGAAAGAGGTTTGACTGAATTATGTGAACAATTTTGGGGATTCATCTTCTTTTTAGTGGGAGCATTCTGTTATTTCTGAATGTCTGTTTAACAGAGAAACTTATCTGTTGTGATTGGACAAGGGTAGAGGTTTTAAACTAAAAAAAAAAACATGAAGTTACATTAGATATTGGGAAGAAATTGTTCCCTCTGAGAGTGGTGAGGCCCTGGCACAGGTTGCCCAGAGAAGCTGTGGCTGCCCCTGGATCCCTGGAAGTGTCCAAGGCCAGGCTGGACGGGGCTTGGAACAACCTGATCTAGTGGAAGGTGTCCCTGCCCATGGCAGGGGGTGGGACTGGGTGGTTTTTAAGGTCCCTTCCAACCCAAACATTTCTAGAATTCTGTTCCCCATGATGATGCTGCTGGAGGGAGGAGTTCTCCTGAATCTGCAGATTGTCAGTGAAAACTCTTTTCTGTTTTGACTGTTTAAAACCAAGATGAAATGTGTGCTGGTGTTGACAGTGCTGGTGTTTCTGGGTGGTCTCAGATGGCAGGTCCAGCATTCCCATTCCAAAGAGCAGCATCCAGCCCATGTCCAGAGCCAGAGTGTGGCCCTGAACCCACAGTCCTCCGTGTGCAGTGGGACTTGTGTCTGACACCACATCCCTGCAGCATTAGGATTAACTCTTTCCCCAAAAATTATTACTTTACAGCACTGAGGGTGAAGTATTTGCTCATATCCAATCACTTTGTGGAATTAAAAAGGTGGGAATTTTGAGAAACCTGCCTGGGCAGGTGCTCCCTGCCCCTGTGGGGCTCTGGGAAGGGGGTTGTTTTGGGGTCTCTTTGGGACTGGGCAATTTTTCACAAGCTGGGAGGGAGGTTTCCCCTTTTCCTGGGCAAGAGGAAAGCAAAAGGAGACACAGCTGGTCTGTTTGGGAGTCTCATTTCATTTCTGAATTCAGGGAATCATTACAAACCTAATTTACTTTGAGATTGGATTTTCTAAGGTGCGACTCTTGTGTGAGCTGTTTGTTTTTCTCATCCCTCTGGAGGTTCCTGCTCTGTCCTTTCCACAGAGGTTTTCCCTGTGTGTGGAAGTGTTTTATACAATAACCCTCTCTGGTTTGGGGTCTGTGCAAAGTGACCAGTCTGTGAAGGAGTTCGTGACCTGCTCCAGAAAGAAGATCAATGTTTTGGGGTGCAGGGGGCTGGGACACAACTGTGTGTTCTGCAGGATTTATCCCATGGGGGATTAGGTGTCCATGTGGCATTGCTTGCAGCCCTGTGGTGTGGCAGGAAATGTGGGAATTCTGGGCCTTTCTTGAAAGCTTATTTTCCCTTCAGGGCGTGTTGATGTACCAAAGTCAGCAGGAACCCCAAACCTGGGAGGCCCCAGACGTCCGAGAGCCACATTTACATGCTGGGAAAGACCCTGTTGGCATGCCCAGCAGTAGGATAAATTTTCTTGAGGAAGTTCTTTCAAAGGAGAACTTAAAGAGCTAAAGGAAAAAGTCCCATTTCCCCCTTTGGCTGCTGTCCCTGTCCCCTCTGGCAGCCAGCAGGGTGAGAGGTGGCCCTGCCCGTGTCCCTGTCCCTCTTCCACCGTGGCTTTCCTTGGACACAGAGCTGTGCCAGGTCCAGGGGGTCAGTGTGGGGTTGGCACTGCTGCTGTGCCATGTTTGGACGTGGTGCTTGTCCCCTGGATGTCACCCCGTGGTGTTTTATTTGTAAGGAAAGGATGACTCAGTTAAAAACAAAGGCATCACTTTTCGCATGGAATATCCTCCTCTCACCTGCAACCAGAGCTCCTTTGGGCACAGAACATTGGCAATTCCTTAAGATCCTGGTTTGTTTCCTTTTTAAACTGCCTGATTCCATGTGCCTCGTGCCCCTCTGGGCCGGGGCTGTCACCAGGAGCTCAGCCTGTCCCAAAACACCCAAAAGGAGCCGCCCTGAGTTCCCGCTCCTGGTTCCGCAGGGCAGAGCAGGTCGTGGGGTGGAGGGGTGAGCAAGGAGCCTCCTGTTGTTTTGAATTTTTTTTAACCCATCCTCCCTGCCAAACGGCCTATTTTCTGCCCCTCATGGTTTCTGCCTAACAAATGGTGTTTCTTTTTTACAGCGTTATGATCCTGGACTTGTTGTGGTGATGGTAAACTTAGCAGTGGTAATTTTTTATTTTCAGACTGAATTACTCCTTTTGTCATCAGTGCACCAATGTTAGGCTTACTTTCTCTGTTGTAGCCATCATCCTTCTGCTTGGTCTTTCATTTTCCTTTCCTTTCCTTTCTTTATGCACACTTGTCTGATCCTTGTTCATTAAAGGGTATTGCTAAGAAGGGATGTTTCTGTTTGTGTTAGAACTGCCAAAATCAGTTTAAACATAAATTTCTAATACTGTCCAAACTTGATTTTTTTTTCTCCCCCCCAACACGATGGGCACTAGCACTTGCTACTGCAATTTCCAAATGGATTTTTGAATTAAAAAAAAAAAACCAACAAAAAAACACCAAAAAACTTTGACTGCCTTAGAAGGCAAAAGTACTGATGCATTGTTTGTGTACAGGGGTTTACCAGGGCAATGAGGCTGCATCCAAAGATGTCCATTGCTGGAGAAACAAAGAAACAAACAACAACAAAAAAAAACCAAACCAAAAAAAGCTCGAAAAACAATTTAAATAATAAATTGTTGGCACCTGGTGCCAGCCATTCCATTTGGGTTCACCACTTACCAGTAAATCCCTGGCTGAGACGTTATGAAAGTGATATTGCACTTAGGAAGTCATTTTTATAACCTGTCTTTGATTTGGTCCTTTTGCTAAAAATTGCAGTCACTGCTTACTGTATTATACCATTGGGCGTGAGAGGAACCCTGTCAAACCTTGATACCCAAAACAAGGCTCAATCCAAAGTATTTTGGGTGAACGTGGTCGCTGATTTTGGACCTGATGGATACCTGCCTGTCAAATTCCTGGGCGTATCAACAAATCCATAGAGCAACTAATTAAGTGGATTTATTTGATTTATTTCTGAATAAAAACCATGCCTCTGTACTTTAAAGTTCAAAAGCCCCTCTGGGGCTGTGGCTTTGGCAGGAATTAGAGCTGATGCTGGCAAAGTGTTCCCACCTGTCCAGGTTTTCCGAGGCATTTTTAAAGACTTGGACCTTTTGCACGTGGAATCTTTTTGGCACGATTCAAACCTGTGGATCTTTTAGCCCAAAGGTATAATACCTGTGTATGTGTGTATAACAAAACAGTTGTTTACACCAAACAAGAGCAATAATAAGGGAAGTAAACATTCTGTTTTTTCACTCAAGGTATGCACCGGAGAAGGTAAGTACTTTGTTCAGTGGGTTACATCACAACCAACAGTGCCAGTTGTGATGTAAAAATCAAACATAATAA